TGTATAGACAGGTGTGTGGCTTTCCTAATCACGTCCAATCAGTATAATCAAACACCGCTGGACTCAAATGAAGGTGTAGAACCATCTCAGGGATGATCAGAAAAAATGGGCAGCACCTAAGTTAAATATATGAGTGTCACAGCAAAGGGTCTGAATACTTATGACCATGTGATATTTCAGTTTTTCTTTTTTAATAAATCTGCAAAAATGTCAAACATTCTGTGTTTTTCTGTCAATATGGGGTGCTGTGTGTACATTAATGAGGAAAAAAATGAACTTAAATGATTTTAGCATATGGCTGCAATATAACAAAGAGTGAAAAATTTAAGGGGGTTTGAATACTTTCCGTACCCACTGTATATTGTATAGTTGCATTGTTATAGTTATATCTATAACAAACTTGAAACTAATCAAGGTGTGTAGTCCTACCTGGGGCTTCTGGGCCCTTGGGCAGCTGCTACTTTAATCTCAGGCAGAAATATTTTGCATATAGGCTGTTCATCATATCTTTTGTAGGTTACAGAAAACTCAAGTTTGCACTCATTCAGATGAGACGAAACATGACGTCAGCGTTCTACTCATTCTCATGCAGAGGGATGAGCACGTGTTGCTTTCACGTGCTATCGGAAATGTGTGCAAAACGACACTAATGCTGTTAAATGATAAGGAGGGGTGTTATGGGGATCATTCAAAGCATATGTTGCATGTCTCATTTTTTTTTACTTATTTTTAAAAATTGACCGGATATATTAGGCTCTGCAGAACAGTACCGAGCAAAGTATTTAAATCATTTCAATAAAAATACCAAAACCAAAATGTTAAAATCCTCACTCATCAATAAAGGTCCTACAATTAAAGAAAGCTTTAATTTAAAGCTTTAAAGAAATAATATAGAGCTATTGACAACAAATATCACTGTTATTATTGTCACATATCTTATAGACACATTAACAGTAGTTTTATGTCATAAGTGGTCAAAGTAAAGTACATTTGAATGCTTTTTACATCTTTCTTTAGTTTTTAAAATATCATTCCATTTAAAACCTGGCCAAATGTTTGTAGGCTATATTTTCCTTTGGAATCACAGGAAGCAGATGAAACCTATAAAATAGAAATACTCAATAAAGTAAAAGCATTTCAAAATTTTACACAAGAGTACAACATTGGAGTGAATGTGGTTTAGTTATTTTACATTCCACCAATGATAATAAAACTGAATTGGATGGTTGATATGCTATATAGTGAACATGGAGTGACTGTAACGTTAGGTTATACTTGATTAGTTGTTTAAAGTTGTTTGTTTAAAACAGGCGGCTGAGTTTACCAAGGTTTATAGAAAACTACATTCATGGCATTTGACATAAACATGAAATGTTTATGATAATGGTGGTTATGTCACAGTGGTTCAGCAAAAGCACAGTTTTGTTTCCCACTAAAATCAGCTGAATAATGTTATGTCCATCCATAACATTATGGTGGTTCAAGGAGGAGATAATGTTATGTTTTCAGTTTAATTCAATTTTATTTGTATAGCACTAACACAAATAATCTCAGGGCACTTGACATAGTAAGGTTTATACATAATTATTATTATTATTGAGGAAAAACCCAACAAATCCCCCTTGAGCAAGCACTTGGCGACTGCCGGGAGGAAAAACTCTTTAACGGAATAAACTTTCGACGGACCTCGGCTGATGTTACAAGCAACAAGTCGTACGCGTAAACTGTGGTCTTATGTGGGTGCTTAAATGTCCGAGCCTAGAATGAGCCCTGAAGGCACCAGAGGCTCCGCTGCTGAGCTCCGGGTCCTCAGAGCGGGACTGGGCTGCTGCTGGAGCAGGACACGGACGGAGGGTCGCTGGGTCGGATACTAACACCTCTACACAGAACATGAAACCTTCTTTTTAACCGTGTGGAAACTTTACTCCAGTCCATCAAGATGACGGTGGAGTTTGAAGATTGCATTCAAGATTCACCCCGGTTTAGGTAAGAACATAATTCCGTAGCCTATCCCAATTTACCCGTTGAACTGCTGAACTCTTCAGTTTGACGCCGCAGTTCTTCTGCAGGCTGGCGTTTGCTTTATTCACATTATTTATCCCAGGTGAAATTGCGACACGTTGCATTTAAATCTCTTAGACTAAAATCTCCATCTGATAAATGGTGGATTAAAATCACAGTTTGGAACAGCAGCCATGTTTGTAAGGTCACGCTTTTTCACAGCCTCCAAGTCTCCGAGTCAGCTGTGTGTCCTGCTGTAGGCGGGATGCTGGTGAGCTGCAGCCAGATGCGTCTTCACATGGCCTGGGACCTGCGGATCATTTCCGTGGCTCCTCGGATTTATGCGTTGCAGCTAAGATGCTGTTCAAGAGAACTGACTGTTGCCTGCAGTGGTAGAAAGTACCTCAGTACTGTACAGCAGCATATACTTACTCAATTGACTAGTTACTTTACAGATTAAAGTCCTAATAGTATACACAGTAACAGCTGAAGTGACTGAGTCAGAGATTGTTATAATTATGAGTCAACTAATGATTATTCAGTTAAGTAATGTATGGTTTATAACCATATATAATGTGAGATAAAACTGCAAATTCCACTCCCATTGTCCTAAGGCCTGAGGTGATGCTTTCAAATGTCTGGTTTTGTCTAACTAGCAGCATAAAACACAAATATATCACATTAACTCTCACATAAGACAGAGAAGAGCTAATCCTCAAATATCGAGATGATTATTTGGTTATCAAAATATTTATTGATTAGTCTGTTGACTAGTGCATGAGGGATTGATTGTTTCAGCCCTAGTTCACTGCCTCACTGGATCACAGGAAACTGAAGGGTTCCACACAGACTGTGCCAAAGCCAGTGTGTGAAATATGGGGGGACGGAGACCCCGCTAATTTACATTAAGGACCCCCAAAGATGTCAGAATCACAGACAATGCCACTGACAGTGAACAGGGAGCTGACGAAGCACATATTGGTGCTGCAGCTGCTGCAGATACCAGCTGTGGTCTTGTAAACAAAGCAAGTTAAAGTGCAAGTGAAATGATGCATCCTGAACTCGGCGGCTCTGCTCTCCCGCTCCTTATTTGAAAAACCTCATTCCTGTCTTTATGTCTTTTCTGTCCAATGGGAAAACTTTCTCAGCAGTCCTCTCTGCTAGTTAGCTGCTGCTGGTTGTGAGCCCCTACAGATCTGGCCTGTACTGCCCAGCAGCTGTATGAGCAGATTCAGCTCACGTGTCTTATTTAATGTGTCAGGCTGGGTCGGGTCCAGACTTGATTTAAAGATAATCACAGGTAAGGGATCAGCTCTGAAGCTGAGCTCTGCAGCCTGTTTGAGCAACTGGAAACATGCGGGAGTCTGGACAGAAGATGAAACATGTCTTCATGTGTTGCCAGTGTGTTAAAATGTTTAATTACTTTTCATTATATTTCTTCCCTGCATACACCACCCCTGGCATGGGACCTCCCAGTTGTCATAAAATATTTTGCAGACTGTCCAAGTCCCTTGACCGCTGTGCACCAGAGGTTACATAAATAAGACAGGAATTTTCTGCACTCACATCTAAATCATAGTCGAGAGCTGTGAGAAGAGTCTGAGCCAGACTTCTTTTACACTTGTGCAGACATAGAAGGCTCAATAGTCATAGTCTGAGTGTTAAAATGACAAAAAGAGGTTGTTTGTTTTGCTGCACAAAGTTTGGATAGTTTTTTTACTCTTCTGTAACATTCCATGTTTTTGTGACATTTTGGATCATTTTACATTTTATGGGCCTCAAACAGTGAAATGAAGCCATTTGAGAACTTTGGAGAAGAAATGGTGGAGCTGCTAACAGACATCTGAAATGTGACAACAGGCCCTAAATAGACAGATGTTTCTTAAGAAGTCACAAGCCAACATTATGTTGTATTTTAGAAGATTATTGTATATTTTAAAATAGCCTTCCCTGGTAGGCTAGTGGTTAAGGCGCAGCGCTTTCACCGCTGCGCGTGGGTTTGAATCAGGGTTGCGTCAGGAAGGGCATCCGGCGTAAAAACGCGCCAAATGTCAACATGCGACTCGTCAGTGTGACATCAGGCAGCAACACCTTAATGACTGCCATGTGGAGCTGGAGAGAGGCACATCTCTGGAAGCGCTTCACAGTGCCAAGAGGCTCCAGACAGGCTACAGACAGGCTACAAATGAGACAACCTGCCATTAAAGAGTCACCTGCCTCGTTACGTAGAGCCCTGGACACATCACTGGTTCTTGTTTCTCACATATGAGTGGAGAAAATTATCTCTAATCTCGCTGCAGCTTAGAATGTGGAAATAACCCCCCTCCTCCTCAGGCCTCTCTTTACATGCTGAAGAGGATAAAACACCCACTGGAGGAAGATGTTCCTATTTGCTTACATTATTGTAAGCTTCGTTTGGTTTATGTTAATCTTTTATCTGCTGTCCAGGATGTTTACATGAGAGAGGGATGTGTTCCTTGTAGCCACTGAAGTCTGTCCCAGTGTTGTCAGAGAGCATTCACACATCTCCACAGTGGAGCCAAAAGCAGTGCTACAGCTTGCAGTGTTATGAAACAACCCTGGAGGTTGATGACTGGAAGGAAGCAGCAGGCTTCAGCAGAATCCAGAAAAATCAAGGCTTTTCAAAGTGGCCTGACGTGACACACTGCCTCCCACACATGTAAAGTCATGTAAAATCAAGTCAGTTTGGCACAGTGGTCTGTCACATGTCATAAGCTTTTTTACTTATTAGCTTAGGCTTCGGACCATTTCAGGATTGATCTCTGTGGGCCCTCAGACAGATGTGAGATTGCAACTGGCGATGCTCTCCACATCTGTTCTGAGAAAGTGGTCTTTAATGAAAACAAGGCTAAAGGAACATGTGTGTTTGCTCTGACACAACACTGGCAAAATGCAGTGTTTGAGCTGTTTTTTCCCCACTGACCTGTCAAAGTGAGGACACACCCAGACTGCTGGAGGATGATGTATAGGGGATATAGCACTCAGCAACTTGTACTGTCATATGAAATGTGCCAGAGCTGCAACTAATGATAACTGTCTAGTGATTACCGTAATATGCCTAATATCACATCGTTAATTGTCAGAAAACTGTGGAAAATGCCCATCGCCATTTCCCAGAGCCTTGTTCTGTCTGACCGACGGTCTGGGGCCCCCAAAATATTCTGTTTCCTATGACAGAAACATAAGAAGACAAAAACTGTTCATATGTGATAATGGAGCTGAAACAGTGATTGAGTTAAACAGTAGACAGAAAATTTATCTGGGACTATTATGATAAACAAATTAAGGATTGTCCGTAGAAATGAGTGTGTGTGGTTGTCTGTCTACATGTCAGCTCTGTGATAGACTGGAGACCTGTCCAGGATGGACCCCAACTTATTTCTCTGATTTTGTTCTGTTATACTCTCTAATGTGACCACAACCATGATGAATGGCTGTAGTATTTATGCAGAGCTCTTGTTGACTCCTTTTCTGCCATCTGGTGGGATTTTCAACATCCTCGATGACTTGTTCCTGTAGCCTTCTCACAGAATATGACTGTTGTCCAGAGAGAGACTTGCTTCTGCAGAGAGACAGGCTCTTTTCTCTGTGTCTGAATGGCCCGAGGGAGAGAGCGCTGACAAGGCTTCCTCCCTCCCCATGTGAACAGCTGGGGGCAGAGAACTGAGGCGAGAATGTCCACGGGCTTGTCACTGACTCACAGGGTGGAGCAGAGAGCCCCGGCGGGCAGGGGATCTAAGGTCACTGACCTGTGGCCTTCGCTACTTGTATATCTCCAGCTTCTGTCACTGGATTGTTAGATCTGTGACACCAAGTCAGACGACAGGGTGAGGCAGGAAGATGCCTCGTATGAAGGAATACCGAGTATCTGGTGTAGTGTCTCATTTTGTGGGGGTGAATTAACTCTGTCTGCTTAGAGAAAAATGAAGTACATTGTTATAAATGTACTTGAAGTCAGTAAATACTGTATGCACAGTGAGAGGACACGCTGAGAAAAAGGTTATGGCTGAGGGAAGGGGTTGAAATTGCAGTCATATTATTGAATACGTTTCTGATTTTACAGTGTGGTAAATGTTCACGGTGTACATAGAAAATGATCACAGTTATAGAAACAAATGTTTTATAACATGGTAAATTGACTGTCTTTGGATTTTGGACTTTTTGGTCATAATACCATCTTCATATGTCTTGTTTTGTCAGACCTCTGTGTGTCAGTGCTTCCACTTAGATTCTGTCCAGATTAGGCTAAAACTCTGAGCTCCTTTCTTTCATCCTGTGCACTTTGTAGTGAACTGCAAAATGCTGCACTCATTTTCCCTTTAGATTTTTTTTATATTTCAAGATGTAATCTACACATCTGTTTCCTTCTCTGTGAGGAAGGAATTTGTGGTGGGATAACATGAGAGAACCTTCTTGCTTTATGCTACTAAACACAACGACTATGCATCTAAAATTCACAGTTCACAACATTTACAGTGAGGTCTTTCTCCTCAGAGACTGAATTCATGGTTGTGACAGATCTTATCTTTGTGTATTGGAACCCTGGAGGATGTTCCTTGTGTTTCTGCATCTCCAGCTGCATGGAGCTACAGGGGATTTGTTTCTGTGAGGGTCTTGTTGCTTCTGCTCTATTTCAGACTGACTTCCTTCCAGCTTGAATTTGTCAGTGACCCTTCTGTTCAGCGAGGAGTGCTCCTCCCAAGACTGTGACATTCACTAGTTGAGGGTGAGAATCCAATCAATATTGTGATTGGAAAACGCTGCTAATACCAAGCTGACCTCTGTCACGTCCCTCGCCCCACGCAGCAGCAGTTGTGGTTGGACTCTTAATTATTTTTGAGACAGAAATTGTAAATTTTATATTTATATATCATACTGTATCTAAGGTCTGAACCAATATAATGTATCCCCTAGAGCCTGTGTCCTGGTTTAAAGACACATTAAACTCGTTCTCTTCTACTGTC